CTTGCACAGGTTACAGGTACTATTGTGATAAATTTAAATTTAAGAAATACACACATTCTAATAGAGTTTAGAAATTAAAAAAAAAAAGAGCTTTTATTTTTGTCTTCATCTATTTTTGATTTTTTTTAGATTTTAATTAAAAATCTATTTATTTTGATGCACCTAATATAAATATACTTAAAATTTTAATATTTATGAGAAGTCTGAAAAAAATTTTACTAAAAAATAAAAAATATGAAAAATGCTTATTTTTTCTTCTTTTTATTTTTATTTTTAGTAAGCTTTTTTTTTCTTTTTTTCTTTGTTTGTTGTTAATTTTGGCTAGTACTTTGTTCGATGGTACTGTATGGGTGTGCATATGTGATGTCAAACTTGGGTTATAAATTGATGTTGAAGAAATCAAATGCTGTTATTAAAATGTGATAATTTTCCCATCTTCTCTAATAGGATCAAAATTTCGTTTCCGTACGTTCTTTCGGTTAGGTTGGAAATGAAAATAGAATTGGAAACTTTTCAAACTTTTTGAAAACATGAGAAATAACAAAAGGATTTGAAAGTGTATGAAAATATTTAGGAAAAAAAATAAAAACTTTTAGGGTGTGTTTGATAACGTTTACGTTTTCAGTTTATATTTACAAAAATTTTATAAACTGATTTTTGTTTATTTTTTGTTTATTTTTAGAAAAACATAAACTACAAACGCGTTTGGTAATTGACAAAATATTTTAAAAAAAATCTTAATATAAAAAAAAGTGAGAAATGACAAGTGGTGGCAAGTGGCGGCGGACGACGGTGGTGGAAAGTGGTGACGGTGAGTGGTGGGTAGCTGGTGGTGGTGGCGTGGTGATGATGGGTGACGGTGGGTGACGGTGGCCGGTGGGTGGTTGTGGTAGGTGGGTGGGTGACGGTGGCGGGTGGTAGGTGGATGGGTGACGGTGGCGGGTGGTGGGTGGTAGCAAGTGGATGGTGGTGGTGGTGGTGGATGGGTGGTGGGTGACGGTGGCGGGTGGTAGCGAGTAGGTGGTGTGGCGGGTGGTGGGTGGTGGTGGCAGGTTGGTGCGGGTGACGGGTGGTGGCGGTAGGTTGGGTGGGTGACGGTGGGTGGTAGTGGTCGTGGGCGGGTGGTGGGTGGTAGTGGCAGATGGGTGGCGGATGTGGGGTGGTGGTGGTGGGGTGGGTGGGTGGGTGGGTGAGGTGGCAGTGGTAGGTGGTAGCGAGTGGGTGACGGTGGCAGTGGTGGTGGGTGGGTGGTGGGTGATGGTGGTAGTGGTGGTGGTTGTGACAAGTAGGTGACAGGTAGCTGGTGGTGGCAGGTGGGTGGTGAGTGGTGGTGGCAAGTAGGTGGCGGGTGGTGGTGGCGGTTTGTGGATGGTTAGTGGCGGGTTGGTGGGTGATGGCGGGTGGATGGCAGGTGGGTGGTGGTGGTGGCGAGGGGTGGATGGTGGTAGCGAGTGGGTGGCAGTGGGTGGTGGGTGGTAGTGGTGGGTGGCTAGTGGGTGGTAGTGGCGGGTGGTGGTGGGTGGTGGAAGTAGGTGGGTGGTGAGTGGTGGTGGCAGTGGTGGTGGGGGTGGGTGGTGGTGGCGGAAGACGGTGTGGATGAAATGATGGCGGGTGGTGGCTAGTGCTAAGGTGGTAAAAAAAAAAAAAAAAAACTCAAAACTCAAAACGGAAACACATTTTTTGTGTTTTCATTTTTTGGCCAAATTTATAAACTGATACCACTGATTTTATAAATCAAAAATTTTACACAAACAAGTTTTTATTTGAGTTTTTTAAAATTTTGTAAATATAAACAGAAAACTGAAAACGTAAAGTGGTTACCAAAACGGCACCTTATTGATGTTAATAAATTCTCAATAGTTCATTACTTGAACATGTTGAGTGTTATGATGACTTAGTTGGATAAAGGGGTTTCCCATTTTAAGAAAAATATATTAAAAGAAATTGCGAATTCTTGTAACAGTAGCATGGAAAAATAAACAATCGATGCATTGCTCCTTAATGGATTCTAGACTACGAGCCAATTGGTAGCTAATTTGTTATCACAATAAAGTCTCGAAAAATCTTTTTTGGTTGGTCTTAATTCTTGTGGTGATTTTTAGTCAAAAAGTTTAAAGGGTCTATGTGTCATTGATTTGCACTTGATCTGACATCTGTTTGACTGGCATTTACTTTAACGAAGTTACAAAGATAACCTCTTTAAATAATACAAGAAATAATACAAGAAATAATTTATTGGGCAAAGGAATACCAAACAACGCAGGAAGACCGACGACGAACAGGCCAAAGAGTAACCACCGGCAAAACGAGGAACACCTGCATCAAACACCATATTCAGGTTTGTATCGCATAAATTTAGGGTTTGCATTTTAGATTTGGGATTTTAATTTCGAAATTAGGGATTCAGATTTCGGATTTTATAATTCGAAATGAGGGTTTGTAAACTTTTCATTCAACAACGCAGGAATTTTTTGTATAAATTTTGCGTTGTTTGCAAACCCCTTTCTCTCGTCAGTTGCTTCATTAGTTGTGGGTAGAACCCATTATTTTCATTCACCCTCCGTTTGGCTTCTTGGAAAACCCACGAGAAAGAAAAGGAAAAGATCAAGATTTCCATTCTTTTGCTTGCTAATATGTTTACTTGAGTGGGCTTTATTTATTTTATTTATTTTTCTGTTCTTCTTGTTCTTTTTTATGTTAATTTTTTGTATACTATACTTGAATTTTTTTTCTTATTTTCTCATATTTTCTCTGCAATCTAACACAGCATATCTGTATTTTTTAGCTGTTTAGTTAGAAGATTAACCAATTTCATGTGTCATTACTTGGACTATCATTAATTAAACTTGTTAATAATGTCTACTTAACTTCTCAAGGAAAACCTGAAATTTCCCATAATTTCTATTTAAAGTTGCTACTTTCTTTTTTGAACTTGTATTTTCTTTTTTCCCCAATTGTCACATGGCTGCTCCAATGAAGCATTTCTAGAAAAGGGAACCATCACCATTTTTTAATAGCTTTTTGGTTTTTAATTTTGTTTGATGAGCTTATATGGTTTCTTCTGTCTATGAATTTTGAGTTAATTTTGGGGTGATAGATAAGTTTTGATTGCTTTCTTGTTTTGAGTATGCCTTTGGCATGTAATAATATTTCCAAAATTGCTTTGTTTGTTTGTGTCTGTGTGTGTGTAGAGAGTCTTGTTATCCCATGATTTGACGCATCCCTTGAAATGTGCTAATTTTTTGTATCAATGGTGAGGTTTTGGTTATATGCAACTTATTGTTTGCTGAGTTTTCACAAAACATCATAGTGTTTTATTTTTCTTTTACAAATACTATGATCTCCAAAATTTTATAGGAATTGCTATTCTTCTGTTGATATTAATGCCTTTTGTCTACTAAATCCGTTGCTGTCTGAAAAGTTACCTAGATTGTTCAAGTGGTTGATATTAAAGAGCTAGGTGTTATTGACTTTATTGCATGTACTGCAGTCTGCATGTACAGTCCTGAGATGTTAATGTGTGAGGAACAATCTTCTATAGGAAATCTTAATTTGTTATGCTCAATTGCTAAGCTCTATCTACTAATTAATGAGATTTTCTTTTTCTTTTATGTTCCAACATAATGATAGTGAACTTGGTTACCGTTACTAGTTTTCCATGCTATTTCTTCTAACCTCAAGTTGATAGATATTAGGTTCACTAATTTTGACCTTTATATTTATTAATAATGATTATGATTTTAATGGATTGGAGAACTTAAAATGATTTATTGAGGACCAAATAACGAATCAATACTCAAGTCACAACCAACTATTGATGGAGATCATGGATTTGATCGGTACAAGCACACCAACAAGTTTGTGGATTCAATTAGAGTTGTTTTGTAAGTTGTAATTTATATTTTGTTCTTTATAGTGGATTGGTTGATTGGACTAGGTCCTGTGGTCTTTTCCAGATGGGTTTTCCATGTTAAAATTTATGAGTCTCTGTTTGTGTGATTGATTTATTTTTATGCTTGCAATTTAGATTGAATGATTAAATTAATTAACCAAACACCACCAAAGCAATCCATATCAACGAATAAAATTTTTTCCAAATTCGTACCAGACCATATTGATTTTGCATATCATAGTATTATATGTCTTGAGGAACATTGAGTTATTGTCTCTTGCTGCATTTTGCATGAGGTGGCGGCTTTGATCCTTTATGGAGTTTGATTTCCTCTTGTTCTTGTTGATTAATGCATTTTATTCTTTAAGAATGGAGATTATACATTTTGGACATTTTATTATGCTAATTTGTAATGAGATTATACATTTTGTTACTGATGTTACACAATTTTATGGTAAAACCATATTTTTGTGATAGAGTGCAACCCTTTAGGGCCAGATATATAGATACTAGGGTAAAATGCCCATGCCTTGCACGGGGTTACAGGTACTATTGTGATAAATTTAAATTTAAGAAATACACACATTGTAATAGAGTTTAGAATTTTTTTTTTTTTTTAAAAAATGAGCTTTTATTTTTGTCTTCATCTGTTTTTGATTTTTTTAAGATTTTAATTAAAAATCTATTTATTTTGATGCACCTAATATAAATATACTTAAAATTTTAATATTTATGAGAAGTCTGAAAAAAATTTCACTAAAAAATAAAAAATATGAAAAACTGCTTATTTTTTCTTATTTTTATTTTTATTTTTAGTAAGCTTTTTTTTTCTTTTTTTCTTTGTTTGTTGTTAATTTTGGCTAGTACTTTGTTCGGTGGTACTGTATGGGTGTGCATATGTGATGTCAAACGTGGGTTATAAATTGATGTTAAAGAAATCAAATGTTGTTATTAAAATGTGCTAATTTTCCCGTCTTCTCTAATAGGATCAAAATTTCGTTTCCGTACGTTCTTTCGGTTAGGTTGGAAATGAAAATAGAATTGGAAACTTTTCAAACTTTTCGAAAACATGAGAAATAACAAAAGGATTTGAAATAACAAACCTTTCACAATACCATCATCTCCTACCCCACCATCATCTCCTACACCACATATAACCTTCACCTACCATGTTGATCCATTCATTACCCATGACTTCCACATTGACGGGGAGGGGGAGGGCCAGGTCCATGCACCTACCAGAGGGACAAGTAGGGGTAGAGGTTGTGGCGGCCGTCGTGGTGTAAGTAGAGGCCGAGGGCGAGGGCGAGGGCAACGCCAAGCAATAGACCATGACAATAATGCAGCGGATGATGGCGTTTCACAGCTTAGTGCCGTATGTGAAAGTGTGCCGGAGGTGGTATCAAATGATTGTACTGCAGCCATTGGTGATGTGCAGCCAGCTTCTATTGAAGCGGGCGAGGGAGTCGGACGTGCGGCAGCGCAAGATATACTGAGAGTATATAGTAAGAGACCCAGGAGACAAACCCATGGAAGGGGTTGTGGAACAGGGGGAAAATTAGGACATTAGGAACAACCAGCATTGGTAAGTATATTCAAACATTATGTTCAGGTGGTGTTTTCACGTGGATTAGTCTACATTGTTTAAGTTGTGGCTTATTATACAGTTCTGGCTTTTGGCTTATCTTATCTTGTAATTGTGGCTTATTTTATAAGATTCTCGATGCTGATGCTGCTGCTATTTTTGCTACTGTTTTGAAGGAAGGGGTAGCTGCTTGCTGTGTTGCTGGTTGTTGGTTGCTTGCTGCTTCTTCATTCTGGTTGCTGCCGATTGTGTGTTGCTACTGCTGGCTTGGATCAGTGAGCTGATAATTGGGTATGAATTTTATGGTCTTAAAATAGCTTTGGATGTTTTACAGCTCCCCACTATTAGCTAAAGAAGTCAGTGAATTGATATTTTCCTGTTCTGTGAAACAAGAGGTTATATATTTATATACATTAGTTAATTTTTTCTTCTTACAATTTACTACCCTTAATGGGTAGTCAGTTGTTTTGGTTGAAATTGAATAGCCAAGCTGTCAACCCTAAATTAATTTTTTGTGCACTTCTAGGGTCAGAGCCAGATTTCTTACATCATGTTTGTGGAATATAATTTAATATTTCATGCATTTTTAATTGAAATATACCTTATAATGTGGGGCTTTTTGAAAATTTTTGCCATATTTGTGCTTTTGGCGTTTTAAATGTTGTCTACCACTTAGGCCTCGTTCGGCTTCGATATCATTGTAGCCAAAAAGTCAAAAAGTCACTAAAAAAACTAAAAAGCCAACCACTAAAAAGGATCCCAACAGAGTGCATTAAAGTGTTGCAAACTCTGTGATGTTTTAATCCCCACCACATTGCTTCTCAATTTTTATATATTGACATGCACTCATAGCATTTATCAAATTGTTGCCAGCCTATATTTGTTGTCATAACTCAACTCTTGTTTGCTTGATTCTGTTCATTCTAAAAAATGTTACCTATGGATTGGTTTTATTTATCCATTTTGTGAGTCCATATATAGCTGATTAGAAGTTAAGTTGCTTACCTGGTCATGGTTGATTGATGGAAAAACATATTGTCTTTGCTCTCATATAGGACGATGATGGAAATCTAGAGGCACTTAAAGTTGGTGCTGGTCAAGAAAAGCAGAATCTCTCTAAATGGTGGAAATTTAGAACTTAATTGACGTTCTGTAGTCTATATTGGTCTTGCAACATCGGTCTAGGTTTGAGTATGAGAACATAACCCTACTGCTTCTGCTTATTCTTTATCTTTGTTTTTACTTTTTGAATCTTCCTAGGTTGCATGATACTCAATTGGTTTTGTATCATTCTCAGTTTGCGTTACATATGTTTGAGCTGTAATTGTGTGAATTCATGCACAGAATTGAGTTCAGGTTGTTTTGGTTTCAGATTTTGGTCAACGTGCAATGGGTAAATCACCAGGAAAATGGATCAAAACCGTGCTTTTTGGGAAGAAATCATCCAAATCTAATTTTTCCAAAGGAAGAGAGGTACTGTGAATGTATTGATCAATGGGCAGCTAAATTCTTGGATGGGTTGTAGCTTGAAAATGGATTGAACTTAATGAAAATGTCTATTTCTCATAACCCTTTCTACCAGTTGATACTTTTAATTTATTAGTTTTAACTTGCGTTTGCAATTGCTTCAACTCAACAAGATTTTCCACGCATATAGAAACTGTTTCCTAATATATGCTTTGCAACACTTAACGATAGGACATGACATGCCTTCTAAGGGAAGAAAATTAAAAAAACCATATCTCCTAGACTGTTGCTTTGCCAAAGAGTGGCACCATTGTTACCTAAAGGCTTTTAGAAAATTAAATTTGTAGATTGATCAAGGTCTTAATAATTGATCTAGGCTAACATTGTTCACTAGAAAATGGGCATATGAAGTTGCAAAGTTAGACATAATTTTTAAAATCTTCTCCAAAGGCTTTTACAAGTTCAAACCATTCTGACGACATGATTTGGCAACAGATAAACCCGTGACATAACTTGGAAAAAAACACAACTCATTCAAATTAACTATAGAAAGCTCATTAACTTTTGAATTTTTTGCACACCTCATAGTTGATGGTGAGGAGGTTTAAGTTTAAAAAGTAGTAAGTAATAACTAATTGTTAGTATGTACCCATTTCAATTGCATATTGGTCCCTTGATCTCTGGTTTTTTCCTTTGTAGCCCTTTTGTTTCATATCTGCAGGTGACTGATTACCTCATTTTTTTGGGGTCTTTTATAGCTTCTTGCTTCATCCCCCACTGCAAAGTCTCTACGTCTACAGTATAATTCCACAGAACCAAATTCAGTAGATGAAGAAGGTTAACCCACAAACGCTGGTCAGCATCCCTCCTGTGGAAACCAATTCCCTCAACAAAGAAAGTTGCTGGCTCAAAATCCCAGAAGAAGAAGGTTAACCCACAAACTGTTGACCCTGAAACAGGCAGGGTAAAGCTTAGTGTCCGGAGGATTCCTTCTTTAAACCTTGACAATGTCTCGACTCAATCCACTTCTGAAACTGAGAAACCAAGACGTAACCTTCGGAAAGTCTCGAGTCATCCAGCAGATTCAGTGCAGGAACATCCGCAAAATGAGCTTGAGAAGGTCAAACGCAGTCTGAGAAAGGTTCACAACCCTAATACGGAGGGCACCATTCAGTCTGAGGCTGACAGTGAGAAGCCAAAGTATGGTCTTGAAAAGGTTTTGAGCTTTTCAGATCAAAATACTGCAGAGGAGAACATCAGTGACTCCGGTGAGAAGATAAAGAAAGGAACAACTGTCACTGTGTCCAAACTGCCTGATATAGAAGCAACTCTAGAACCACCAGTGGTGAGTGAGGCAATTGATTTGTTATGTGATGATCAAACTGCAATAGAATCCCAGCCTCCAGAAAATAGTGGAAAACATGAGGGTATTCCTGTGACAAATGGAGAGTTAAGATCTAGGGAAGATATAACTGTCAATGAGAGTCAGAAATCTGCCCGGACGGCTTCTTCTGCAGCAAAGCAGGAACGTACGAAGAATGGGGTACAAAACAGACCTGCAGTGCCAAGTTATATGGCAGCAACTGAATCTGCAAAAGCAAAACTGAAAGCACAAGGCTCGCCAAGGTTGGACCAAGATGGAATTGAGAATCAGAATCTCAGTAGGCGTCATTCTTTGCCAGCTTCAACTAACAAGAAAACAAATTCGCCGTCGCCAAGGGCACAGAGACCCATACAGTCGGGTGGAAAAGGTGGAAACAAAAGCGATAGATCTATGTTGTCATCTAGAGATGGAAATGGTAAGAAATGGAAGAACTCAAATCTTAATTTTTTTTTTTTAATATTTTTTATCTTCCCATGCACAATTTTGTTCGCTAAGCTAAACAGAGAGTGCTTCTGCCGTAGCTGGTTTTGACCGTCGTATCCTGGGAGACAGACGCCGGGATTCCTCAAGCACTTGACCAGTGAGGCGGCGAAATCTGTTTTAAGGAAACTGCTTCCGTGCAGGCTTCGGTTTCATCTCTTTACTTTTTTATTGTTTTGTGTATTTCTGTTGAAATTTAGTTGTAATTATTAGCATGTGTTCTTAGTATATATATAATTTTATTTCTTCATAAATCTATTTATTTAATTTCAAAATTTGAACAACAAGCTTAAAACAGATTTCGCATATATGTTTTTCCTATGAAATTGATCGAATAGATTTATATAGACATTTGTATAATGTTACTAGGAATTGTTGCGGAATTGCTTCCTATTTCAATGATTGTAAAGTATGCAATGTGATTCTCTAATTGTTTAGTTTAATTAGAATGCCCTATCATAATTTTTATACTTAATTGTATTACTCTAACCTTATTTTATGAGTATGGTTCATCATTCCCCTTCTATGATTTGCATGATTTTTAAGGTTATAAAATATAATTATTGATGTTCCAATTTGACATGCTAATTCTATTATATTCTAGGTTTTAATTTGTTGCATGCTTATTATTTTCTAGACTAGATTACATGATTTAATCTTTAGAATTTTTGCATGTTAATGGTTGAATGGTTATATACTTGAAGTGCTTGGTTATTAGTTTATTACATATAAACAATTCAAATTATTTACATAAACTGCATGCTACTTATTTGGTTTCATCCTATTTGTCTAATGTTGCATATGTATATTTTGATTTTGCATGCTTCTAGCTTTACTATCTAATTTGCATGTGAAATTGCTTCTAGTTTTCTAGAGTTATACACATAAGTTATTTCCATGAATAGTGTGTGATTTAATTGGATTGGTTATTTTTCTTTATGTTTGAAGAAATTTTTTCTTGAGATTTAGTTGGTTTGTTTACCAATTTGTAGTAGCAAGTTTTATTTGCTTATTAGACACATTTTATATGCATGTATTTAGTTGTAGCAATTTTAAATTGTTTGCAAGTTTAAATTGCTTGCAAGTTTGGATTTTGGTTTGGTTTTCTGGAAATTCTTATATAATTTATGGCAATTAATTTTTTAATTTAATGTAGAAGTTATAAGATTTTGTAGCTTGTATAGTATCTTAATTCCTTAGTTATTTTGCTATTCTATGATTTGCTAGAAGATTAAATAATATTTGATTGTATGTACAATTGCTTCATATTATGTTGTCGTTTTCTACTAACTCTCTTTGTAGGCATACCTAAGCGTAGAAAGGAATTGTATGGACTACTTATAATCCTCAATTGGATTGGTTATTTTTCTTTATAGAAATTTTTTACTTGAGATTTAGTTGGTTTGTTTACCAATTTGTAGTAGCAAGTTTTATTTGCTTATTAGACGCATTTTATATGCATGTATTTGGTTGTAGCAATTTTAAATTGTTTGCAAGTTTAAATTGCTTGCAAGTTTAAATTGCTTGTAAGTTTGGATTTTGGTTTGATTTTCTGGAATAGAAACCAAAGTGTTTAGCCTTGGCTAAAAAGGAGGTTTTATTTGTTCGAAATGGCAACTATCACTGATGCTGCTGCTACTGCTAATGTTGGTGGGGATCTGAACCCCGGGGCAACTGGGTTGCCAACCCCTACTGTTGTGACCTCTGTGGTCAACCATGGCATTACTCCGGCTGTTCCGGGAGGACCGCTCAGTCATTATGAGCGCCCAGAGAAATTTGCTGGGGTGAACTTCAAGAGATGGCAGCAAAAGATGCTGTTCTACTTGACCACGGTAAACCTTGCAAAGGTTCTGAGCGAGGATCCTCCAGCCGTGGTAGAGAATGAGCCTGATAGGTAGAAAGTCATGGCGCTTGACACATGGAAGCAGACAGACTATCTTTGCTGGAACTATATGTTCAACAGCTTGGCAGACTCACTCTATAGTGTGTTTTGTTCCAAGAGCTCAGCAAAAGAGCTATGGGAATCTCTGGACAAAAAGTATAAGACTGAGGATGTCGGGGCAAAGAAAATTGTGGTTGGCCAGTTCCTTGATTTTAAATGGTAGACTCTCAAACTGTGATAAGCCAAGTCCAGGAGTTTCAAGTGATCTTGCATGAAATTCATGCTAAAGGAATGCCTTTGAACGAGTCATTCCAAGTTGCTGTGATCATTGAGAAACTTCCCAATGGTTGGAAGGATTTCAAGAACTACTTGAAGCACAAGCGCAAGGAAATGTCAGTTGAAGAGCTGGTTGTCCGACTCTGGATTGAGGAGGATAATAGAAAGAAAGGAGGGAGTACCTCCTCAGTAAAAGCCAATGTCATTGAACATGGCAAATCTTCTGGAATAAGAAAGAAGCCCTCTAAGTTGGGGCCTAGAGGTGGTGTTGCAAAGAAGCCGGCTTACAAGCCACCGGAACCAAATAATCGGTTCTTTAGGAAGTGCTATAACTGTGGTAGCAATAGGCATCGGGCTAGTGACTGCCACAAGCAAAAGAAGTCATACAAGACTAAACCTCGTGCTCATATGGCAGATTTACAAGTGCACTCCCATGAGGAGGAGGATATGCACTTGTCTGCCGTTGTCTCTGAGGTGAATCTGGTAGGTTCAAACCCAAGAGAATGGTGGATTGATACTGGGGCTACACGCCACATCTGCTCCGAGAAAAAGCTGTTTACAACTTTCGAACCGGTTACAAACGGTGAGAAGTTGTTTATGGGAAACTCTGCTACCTCGTTTGTTGAGGGGAAAGGAAAGGTGGTCCTGAAGTTGACGTCAGGAAAAGAGCTGACCTTGAATGAAGTCCTGTATGTTCCGAACATTCGTAAAAATCTTGTCTCAGGGTCTCTTCTTAGTAAACATAGTTTTCGCATGGTTTTTGAGTCCGACAAGGTCGTTCTTACCAAAAGCAACCAACCTGTAACAGACCCGCCCAACACAACCTATACTTCAAATACAAAGAGATTAAAGGATAACAACAACCAATAAGTAATGACAGGATCCACGGAACCTAAGTCCGGATACAATAATTTAAAGAGAAAAGACCGGGGTCGCTATATTAATCAAGTTAGATCATATACCATCTTTCAAGATTAATCCAAATCATAAGTATGAAACGTGTAGAAGCTAAATTAACAAGGACTACATTTCATTATGTGAAAGAAGTACCAAGCCATTAGATTTAGTGAATAGCGATATGTGTGAATTGAAAGTCGTACAATCACGTGGTGGCAACAAGTACTTTATCACTTTTGTTGATGGTTGCACCAAATACTGTTATATGTATTTGCTTAAAAGCAAAAACGAGGCGATTGATAAGTTTATTCTTTTTAATAATGAAGTTAAGAATCAACTAAGCTAAAACATCAAGACTTTAAGAAGGGATCATGTTGGAGAATATGAATCACCTTTTATTAAGATTTGTGCTCAATCTGGAATTATCTACCAAACTACAACACCTTATTCCGCTTAGTCAAATAGTGTTGCTGAACGGAAAAATAAGACGTTGAAGGAAGTGATGAATGCGATGTTAATAAGTTCTGGGTTGCACAGAACATGTGGGGGGAAGCAATTCTCTCTGCAAATTACATTCTACCATTATGGAGTCAAGGAATGCATGTTTCTTTGAAGACATTTTCCTTGCCGAACCCATGAAAGGGTTCCAAGGTCTTTGGAGAAATTTGATGAGCTTGCTAGTGACGATGATCATATTGATGATTCAGGTGATGATCAAACTGAGGTTTTAGATGAGCCCAGAAGGAGTAAAAGGGCTAGGATATCCAAATCTTTTGGTCCAGACTTCTTAACTTATATGGTTGAGAACGAACCTCAAACTTTCCACGAAGTTGTGACTTCTCCTGAGAGTCCATTATGGAAAGAAGCGATCAAAAGTGAGATTGACTCCATCTTACAGAACCACACCTGGGAGTTGGTAGATTTACCTCCAGGTTGTAAGCCTTTAGGCTGCAAATGGATTTTTAAACAAAAGATGAAGGTCGATGGGTCTATTGACAAGTATAAGGCGAGGCTCATTATCAAAGGGTACAGGCAACGAGAAGGCCTGGATTACTTTGATACGTACTCACCTGTTACTAGGATAACATCCATTCGGATGGTGATTGCGATTGTTGCTTTGCGTAATCTAGAAATTCACCAGATGGATGTAAAGACAGCTTTCTTAAATGGAGATTTGAATGAAGAAATCTACATGGAGCAACCTGAAGGATTTTCAGCTCCAGGGCAAAGCAGGAAAGTTTGTAAACTTGTCAAATCTTTGTATGGTTTGAAGCAAGCGCCTAAACAATGGCATGAGAAGTTTGACAACGCAATGTTGTCAAATGGGTTTAGAATCAACAAATGTGACAAGTGTGTTTATGTCAAAGACACTGACAGAGGTTATGTCATTTTGTGTCTATATGTTGATGATATGCTCATTATAGGTAGTAACGATGAAATGATCAAAACTACCAAGAAGTTGTTAAACTCTAAGTTTGACATGAAGGATATGGGCATTGCAGATGTTATTCTGGGAATTAAGATTACCAGAATCTCTGACGGAATTGTACTATCTCAGTCTCATTATGGTGATAAGATACTTGAGAAGTTTAGTGGATCACATACGAGTGTGTCATCGACACCTGTAGACTTAAGTCTACATTTTACCAAGAATAATAATAAAAGTGTCTCACAGTTAGAATATTCTCGGGTAATTAGAGAATCTTGATTCTCAATGAAGTATATGTTAAGTTGTTAACAGACATTGATGGAGGTTACAGAATACAACTAGGCAAGAGTTTACAAATACAAATGAAGGGTGTGGAGAGGCCAAGAAATGGCATACCTGGCTTTGAATCTTTCCACATGCCGCAACATAGTGTTTCGGACCAGCTAGGTATCCAAGTCTCCAACCAGTCATTGCAAAGGTCTACAAATATCCACATTTTCTGAGATTCATCACTTGAGGTTTATGACCATATCAAAATGATCTACAATGGAGACATGTCATGAAAACAGAAAAGAAGCTTAAAAGAAACAGAGTTGGAGCACCTTAGAAAACCCATTGACAGTCAAAGTCCTCTCCCACATGCCTGGCAAAGATGCAAAGCTTGTATGAGTCGCTGGTGCATAAATAATGTGTTCATATACTTCATCAGACAGCACCTGAAAGGAACAGCCAAAGATAGTCCCAAACTCAATTGTTAACTAAGTTGAAAATTCTACAAGTACACGCACCAAAAGTTGCATGACAAGTGATATTACCAGAAGCCGAGGATGCCTCGCCACAATTTGAGCAATTTCTTCAAGCAGTTTCCTCGGGCAAACAAATCCGGTTGGGTTAGATGGAGAACAAAGAATCAACAGTCTTGACTTGCCAGTCAGTTTGGATTCAAGAAGGTTTGGATCGAAGAGAAAAGTTTTGGAGATGTGGGTTGGAAGAATTACAGGTGTTGCATCAGCCGGCCTTGCCATTTCTGGGTAACTCACACCCAACCTAGTTGACTGGAGATCCCATGATCTAGGTTCAATGGGACAACCTAATTGCGTGTAACGGTGGTATGTCACTGAGGAGGTTAAACCTCCATCTATTCCTTCTATCAGTGATACCTGCAAGTGTAGAGGTTAAGCTGAGCTTTTAATGACTCTAGTGTGTTAAGCTATTGAGCTGAGTATAGCAGGATACTCAAGTAGAGTCACCTATGTGAGTGTGAAGTGGGGCCGCTTCTAGAAGAATTGGGAGGCCAAGATTCTTTGAAACCACTCGCTGAACCAGGCTAGTGTCCAGGGCCACACAAGGCACACCAGTAAGAACATAATGGTGGTAGGAGTAATTCCCGTGTGAGATCTATTGCCTCAGTTTACATAAACGGCAGAGCAGTTCAAGATGTCTTATTCACTGATCAGCCAGTAAACTCGATAGGTTTTCACTGGGAGAGGTTCAAAGCCAAAAGCTACCTTCTCTGATGTCGGGGTTAGTCCGTTGTACTCTCTCTCAGAGTCTTTATTGTTGAACGGTGTTCGTTTGTTGCGTCATTCGGTCAATTTTTATTCATGTGGGGGATTGTTGGAAAAAATGATTTTTGGGGACTTTAATTTAATATTAATGTGTGGTGACTTTAATTAAAGATTAAAGTGGGTCCCAACCATTTATTGTGTTGGGTCCAAGTGGGTCTAGATACTTTGCATTGAGATCTTTACACCACATATAGAATGACCAAAAACCATTGAGATTTGAATGAGAAATTACCTCATGAAGTTAGCTTCATAGAAAAAAGGTAATGAAGTTTGTAACTCCTGTATTTATTACAGAGTTTAATAGAGCATTAATGGGGTTTGTAACTCCTGCATTAATGGGGTTTGTAACTCCCGCCTTTATTGCAGAGGTTAATGGTGCATTATGAACAGCCATAAAGGCTGTAGGCTCTTCCTCTCTCCCCTATATATGTATAAATTGAGATCCTCCTGTCAAGTCTCAAACACAGAAATTTTTTGCTTCCATTTTCACAAGTCAGTTTGCCTGAAAGTTCCTACAGTGAGAGATTGCTGCCACTGTTTTGTTCGCTAAGCTAGACAGAGAGTGCTTCTGCCGTAGCTGGTTTTGACCGTCGTGTCCTGGGAGACAGACGCCGGGATTCCTCAACCACTCGACCAGTGAGGCGGCGAAATCTGTTTTAAGGAAACTGCTTTCGTGCAGGCTTCGGTTTCGTCTCTTTACCTTTTTATTGTTTTGTGTATTTCTGTTGAAATTTAGTTATAATTATTAGCATGTGTTCTTAGTATATATATAATTTGATTTCTTCATAAATCTATTTATTTAATTTTAAAATTTAAACAACATTATGAACTTACATAAATAATTTTACAAAAATACGTAAGTTGAATACAAATTCGTATAAATCTTTTTATAAAAGTAAGTTGTTACGAACTTATATAAATTTGTGTTCAACTTATATATTTTTATGAGATTACTTATGTAAATTCATAAAAATTTATATAATTTTATGATTGAATTATATACGCTGCGTATTACACGCGGGAGAATTTTCCAAATGAAAGAAATGCAAATGGGTTAAAGGGGTGGGCATACATGATGCTGCTGAGAAAGTTGGAATGCACAAGCACAAAAAAGATAGTAATAATAATAAGTGTCTAAGAAAAAAGTTTATGACCAAGAACAGTGTCTAAGAACAGTGGACCAAGAACAGTGTCTAAGAAAAAAGTTTACAAGACAGTACTAAGAAAAAATTTGCTATGGACCACTAATGGGTCAATTGTAGCCTATCGTTGGTCTATTGTAGAAACTTTAGAAGCAATTAATTCAAGTGGATTGGAATTAATATTTATGACCCATGACTCTGGAATTAATATTTATGACCCATGACTCTGTGCCACTGTGGTATGTTATCCAACTCTCATAATAAAGGTTGTGGGTTCAAGTCCTATCTGAGCAACCCTCTCATAATAAAGAGCAACCCATTCTCTCTTCTCTTTCTCTTCAATCTATTTGATTCTAGGGTTTCAAATTGGTTTTATTTTTGTTTTTTACAATTGGACCCCCACTTTAAGTTTTAGAAATTATGTTTTCAACCACGCAGTGTCCAAAACGTGTCCCAAACATGTCCGTTTGCAAAACATTCAAAAACAAAAGGGACACTCTTGGGAGAGTGTTGGACACGTGTCCCACACGTGTCCGACACTGATACACAACTCTCGAAGAGGTGTCTGTGCGTCATACAATAAATATATTTTACATTAAAAAGTTATAATAAATAATAATATTTAAATGTAAAAAAGAGTTATTGTTGAGATTTTGCCTAAAACGTCTATCTAGGGTTGAGCTTTCCCTATTTCAGATTAAATAATACTTCAATTTTTATAGTTATGAAAGTGTATATTTCAATATATTTATGTACAATTATTTCTCTCTGAATGAAAAAATAAAAAATTTATTGTGGATTTTGAACGCAACCTCCCTAATAATAATTCTTACATCCGCCACCAACACCACACCATTAATCACATGATACTTGTCATGTTGTCTCTCAAACACTAAACAAAAATTATTGAGTCTTTGACAAATAGAAATCAAGTAGAAGCACCACATAGACTTGCCTAATCACCAAATAATTTTCCATATAGTTGTGTGTATAGCAAATTAAAAATTGACATTGTCGGACAAATTGAAGAAGTTCTTTTTAGCAAAAATTATCAAAAAGTCCTATATTAGAAACAGTTACTCCAATCAATCTCCTATTTTTTCTATTTCTTAGATAAGTCCTATTGGCATTGATAATATGACTATGAGATCCTATTTTGGATGTTTGATAATTTTTGATGGATGGTTGTACGTGTACCCTTTCCCACTATGACTGTAACACCCTGAATAATACCTATTACGGAATTAATACGATAATCTATTTTTGAAATACCTTAAACTAAATTAGTTATCGTATAATATTAAATAGTTAAATTGATAATATTAAATAGTTATTGTATTTCACTAAAAGATGATAATATAATTATTATGGTGTTTTTGGCCAAAGTGAAAATTAGGAATGGTGTGAAATTCTTTGAATTGCAATTCAACATGATGTAGGGAGCCATGTGTATGGCATGCTGTAGGGAGCCTTGTGTTTGTTGTATAAAATGTATATGTAAATAAAATAAACAAATTCATATAATTAGATTAAAATTATAAAATAAGTAATCATGGACTAAAACATACTAAAATTTACAATATGATGAACAAAAAGCATCACCAAATAATATATGCTATTTTATACAGATTATAAACTAATATATAGAAATATATATATATATATATATATATCAAAATAAAATATTGAAATAAAATAGTAAAAATAAGCAAATCAAAATCTGTGTGATACCACAGTTTCCTTAAAACAGATTTGCCGCCTCACCGAGGGTGATAGAGGTATGTTGATGTCTGTCTCCCAAGATACGACGGTTAAAAACCTGCTAACACAGAAACACCTTCTATTTAGCTCCGGCGAACTGACAATGACAACACTCTCTCACGCAGAAAGCATATACTAGGAGCAAACTGACTATATAATATGGAAGCGAAAAAATTCTATGTAGAATACTCAAAGAAGAAGGTCTCTTTTTATACACAATAGGGGAGAGAGGAGTAAGTTTTTTTCCTTATTTCTCTTGTTGGTTTCCCTTTTCTCTTTTCCTAGCCAACATAACTCCTATTAATAGGAGTTCTACAGAAGTGCATTCATACTCATCAAACACCCTAGAATGCTTTCATACTCATCAAACACCATGAAATGCTTTCATACTCATCAAGCATTCATTCTTAGCATAGTATGCTTGAAATGCTTTCATACTCATCAAGCATTCATCCTTAGCATAATATGCTTTCAGACTCATCATGCATTACTCAACAATCAATGTGAGATAGGTAATTATATACCATTCTCAATATCTTATTCATGAAGTCAACATAATAAAACAATTTTCATTGAATTCTCAAACCAAAAAACCATTTCTTTCTTATAGAAACATTACCTGCCAATTTGTATGGGTGATCGATTTCTAGGCTGTTTGATTTTGAAATCCAGGATGCTCATGTAGAAATTGCTACCTCAAATGATGGCTGTTAAAAGCAACAAGTCAAAAGTGGAACATATGCAAAATTATCGATTAAGTGGATCTCATTCTCATGCCTAGTATTGGGATTCTGGCAAACTTTTGTCTTTTAGTTAGTATGTTCGTTGATACATTCTTTAATATTACTGTCTTTAAAATACTTTAAATTTTATTATGAAATTTATGCTAGGCAATTACTATTAATGTAATCAAACCAAGCTCTCCTAATAAATACATGTGTAATTATTTTTATCAAATATAAATTATTCTACACCAGTCTACTCTCAAACAATTATATCAATCTCTACACCACGCTGATTAGAACATTCACAATAAATCTAAAAGAAAAATGATTGAATTCAAGTAAAAGAAATAATTTGTAAAAGCGTGAAAAAAACAAAGTTGGTTGTTTAGAACACAAAATAAACAAAATTGCATTTCATTTTTCATAGGACATAATCATGTATTACAGATTTTTAAAAACATATGTGGAGCTCGTGTGAAAATTTTAGTTGGGTCCAACTCCTATACGCATCCCCGTATCATTGAGAGAAAAAAAAATTCCAATTTTTTGTGATATAATTGCAAAAGGGCATTATAATTATGTTACAAAACTTGTAGTTATGTTATGAATCATTAGATAGTAAAGCATTTTTTGTGGTTAGCAAATTTATGAATTTTGCTGATTTTGTTACAAATAATCATAGTCAAGTTACAAAAAGGTATATCGCATGCCCTTTTTAGCGGTGTGTATTGTAAAATTTTCTCCCTTGATGAATGAAAATAATGAATATTTTTATCTAAAAAATACGGACACTTTCTAATAAGGTAATGTATTGGACACCAACACGACT